GATTGTAAAAGTATCCATTAATAATTAATGGACATTTTTACAATCCCCATCTCTAATATAGTGGACACCTCTAATTATTAGAAGTGTCCACTATTCGGGAGTGTCTGTTAATGGAGGTTTCACTGTATTTATAAAAAAAAGTCATCCATAAAATGAAAAAAATCAGAAGGTTAAGCAATTCACTTATTCTACTGTAAAAATCATTAAGAGACATTCATATTCTTCTTTAAATGTATCCAAAACAATAATTTACAATTTTAAAAAGCAAATACAGTGAAGTACTGTCTGTTTCTCATATTTCTCAAGGAGCTGGACCACTAATACAAACAATTGAAATTTAAATCATAATGTACCACAAGATGGCAGAACTAATAGTTTTTTTTTATAACAAAGTATTATAGAGGTTTCTAGTATTATAGAGGTTTTAATGATTATCTTTGATGCTGCAATTAGGTTTTGGCAAAACTCTGTGTTTTGAGACTTCATGTCCAAGTTGCATCTAGATTTCTGAGTCTGAATCTGTATTTAAATACAGTCAATTCTGCTTAATTGGGATACATTGGAACTAATCCATTTTGGTCCAATTAAATGAAGTAATAATAAATTCTAAAATAAAATATATAATACATAGGTAAATAAATAAGTAGGTAAAAAATAATAATTAGGTACCTATTTTAATGCTTTATTAAACCAAGTAGGGAACTCTATTATGGAATTAGGGAACTGTAGCTGTCTTTCAACTTGGTTGAGAGACCTGGAAAAATTGTCCAGTCCCTTCACTTTTAAGTCTAGTCCAATCCAGAGCAGGGTCAGTAGCTCGCATTCAGATCTGCCTCAGACGGAATCCCAGTGTGATATGTCCCACTATGCTGACTCCCTCCAGAAAACCAAACTGCCCAAGCAAAAGACAAAATTGCAAACGTTAGGCCTACACAACATTAATGTATGTAGTGTTGACATATTTTCAGAAGGTTCCTAAAATATATCAAAAATTGCTAAATTCCTTTTCTGCTACTGTCCCAATTAAGCATTTAAATTATGCATTAGTTTGGTTTTTGTTCTTTGGGATTTGGCCTAAAAAAGTGGCTGGCCCAATTAAACAGAATCGACTGTACTATATTTCAGTTTCTGTTTATTAAACTTTGGTATATACATTACACTAAAACAACAACAACAACAACTGTACTATATTTCAGTTTCTGTTTATTAAACTTTGGTATATACATTACACTAAAACAACAACAACAACAACGACAACAAAAAATCTATATATTTTTAACAAAGTTCAAATAAAATATTTTTGTCTAGTTTAGTTACTTTATATATCAAAATTTCATATATTTAGAAAATACAATTAACTAAGTAAAACTCATATCTGTTTTACAAACACTTTCTTTAATTATAATTATCAAATTATTGTTGTTTGCAACAATACTTGTTTTTAAATCACATTTCAAATGTGCACAAAATAAATATTATATGAAAGAAGATATCCTAAACAGAAATAAATCAATTAAATATTTAGAATGTTTACTATAAATATGCATAATATTTCACTTAAAATTGAGTTTTTATTTTTAATCTTTCTGTCCTGTTGCACTAAGAGGACCATCTTTTCCATACTCATCAAGAATTCATTCAGGCCCACAATGAGGCAGCTGGTTGGGAAGGACAAGATTCAACTTGTCCAGAGTGGGCAAAACATGAAAAATTCCTAGAGTTGCTCACCTGGTGGTCTCCAGAATGTTAGTCTAATGTTTTAACTTAGACTAACATTCTGGTTATTGAGATTCTGGTTTGAGATCATGTTGAAGAATTTCCAAACTTTTGATTTTTTGGAACTTTTTACTTCTGTCTGCATTTTTCTTTTAAATCTTTATAAAATATATGGGTGTTTCAAAAAGTAACAGTAAACTGACAATATGAAATTACCTTCTTCCTGATAATTGGATCAATGACTAAGTACATCAAATAAAACCTTTACAATCCATTAAGTAATTTTGACTAATGTTTTTGATCTGCTTCAGTCAACAAGATTCTAAATCTTGTTGACTTGTTGAAAACATTAGTCAAATTTACATTAAAATTACTTAATGGATTATAAAGATTTTGTGTGATATACTAAATAGACAATATTTCATGAAACTAATATCCCAGGCATTTCAAACACCTGCAAAGGGAAGGTACATTCTTAGAGAAGGTATTGGCACTAGGGATGCCACGAATATTCGGCTACTATTCGGTATTCGGCCGAATACCGAATACCAAATCGTGAAAAAAAAACCGCACATATTACTCAAAAACGTATTTATTTTAATTTATTTTAATCACAAATTATTACATTTAATACTTAAAACCTATCAGTGGTAAGTTGTGATGAATGAAACAATTTTTTCAGCATTTGTTGATATCAAACGATTGTGCTTTTCCTCATAAACTATACCTGCTTCTGAAAATAGCCTCTCACTATATACACTACTGCTGGGAAACAATAGATAAATCTTAGCGAATTCTGTCAGGCTTGGATACTGTTTTGTGTTTGCTGATCACCACTTGTAAAGGTCTGCCGTCCGATGTAGGCGAACAGTTTTCATATAAAGTGATACAAACAGTGATATTTTTTGATAATAAGGACTATTAGTAACACAATTTGATGTAACAATGAACAAATAATGCATGTTGTGAAACAATCTACTTGCAAATAAAACAAATGTGCCTGCGATGTCGCTACTGCACCCACCACAATGAGACATGTCGTAACCTGTCACCTGCAAAATGTACACATATTTTGCCGAACATTCGGTGCTTCGGCCGAGAGTGTAGCTGAATATTCGGTATTTGGCAAAATCACTATTCGTGGCATCACTAATTGGCATTGTTTAATAAATGAGTTGGTGTGTTTAATTAAAAGGGAAGCATATATATAAAGTGGTAGAGCCTTAGCTGTTTGCACTGTATTACTCGCTGCTCAGTGAGCAATCATCAGATTTTTGTGGTCAGAGGGTGTGAAACCTCATGAAATTCATAGAAGAATGCTACAACAGTACGGAGATGCCTAGAGAAAAAGTGTACAATGGGTAAATGTGTTTAAAAATGGGTGAACATCAATCTGCGATAAACAATGCTCTGGATGTTCCAGCACAGCCATCACTAATGAGAAGGTGGATCACATTGATGCCATTATTTGAAAAACAGGTGCATTTTTTAGGAGTTCTGGCCAGGGAATTGGATATCAGTATTGGATCCACATATACTACTGCCATGGAGATTCTTAAGTATTACAAAAATGCATGCATGATGGGTGCCTAGGAGGTTGACTGATGAGCACAAGATAAATTGTCTTCATACTTCTATAGCTTTTTTGGTACAATATAATGGCAAAGGAGACTTCCTGGGATATACCATTACAAGTGATGAAACCAATAACTTAATAAGATATTGCACCTAATGTCTACCTCTAGTATCAAATTACTTAGAATTTAATTATTAATAGTAGCAATAAAGTAGCCTGACTCATTATAGTGATCATTTAGCTTTGAGATGTTTATATATGTGTATTACAAACACCATACCAGGAAAAAATAATAGCTGGTTGAGTGTCACAGTGGGTAATTACAGGCCATAGACATAGGATTCATTCATTCACACAGTAAGTGGGAGTTACAAGTTCAAATCCCACTCTGGACTAATTCTTTTCTTTCAGAATATTCTAAATTATTTAGTAAAAATATTAATTTAATTTTAATTATTAAATTTAATAAAAGATGGCACCTAAAGTCTACTTCTAGTATCAAATTACTTAGAATTTAATTATTAATAGTAGCAATAAAGCAGTCTGATTCATTATGGCAATTGTTTGGCTTTGAATAAGCTAAATATTAAAATAATAACTGTCCAAATTAAATACAGGTAGTCCTTGGTTTACGCCGCAGTTCTGTTCCTACAAAAGCCGGCGTAAAACGAACCCGTATTTACATTGAGGTATAGGGTTAGGTTCCACATAAGTGAAAAATATGCAAATAATTTTGTTTATTAATACAATATAATACAAAGTACAAATAAATTTAATTTTTAAAATGTATTTTATCATAAAATAAAGTTAAATGTTTTTATTAAAAATTTTAGTTTCGGATCTCTTACATTTTTCGGAAAAAGTATCCATCTTTAATTGTTTACATTTTTGTTTTCTTTCATTGAGAATTTCGGAATATGGTCGAATGGATGCGATGATGCTCCTTTTTACATTTGCACTTCGCTCCCAATCATTGTCTAACTCACAAAGTTCATCCGTCAAACTTTCCATAGTTGAAAGGATACGTTAACCCGACGTAGAGCTACGGACGAGCGGAGACACTGATTGGTCGACCACCGGTCGCCGTAGCGCATATGTAAGGTCAGTTTGAGCGGGAAAATTAAGGAGAGATAGATATCGTCTGGCCAACGAGAAGTAGATTTGTCTCACTAACGATAGTTTGTGATCGCCGGAAGTGCTACTGCGTCGTAAGGTGTTTTCCTGAACGAACTGATACGGGATAAATTCAATGGCGCTATGGATTCGGACGCCATTTATTGGACTATTAAGTTTGATAACTTGACTCGTGGGTACCTAAACGTTTAGTATTTTAATATTAATTTAATGCAAATGTATACAAACCCAATAATATTAAACAGAAAAAATAAATATATTCAATAAAAATCTTTGTTTTAACGAATGTACAATGTCGCGGCTCGGTAAATATGTCAACACTGAAACGAAAATCAGTCTGGCATAGGGAAAATCAGGGAATTACACAGCAAAATCACGAATTGTGCAGCGGCGTTATTGTGAATCGGCGTAAATTGAACCAGCGTAAACTGAGGACTACCTGTATTCAGTTTTTAACATAAAGCTTCAAAATATCAAAGGACAATTGATAATTTAACATAATTAAACATTAAATTAAACAGCAAAAAAAACAGTAATAAAAAATTTTAAATCAAGTACTTAAAAGAATACAAACTTTAATACATCTTGAAAAGACATCCAAAATACACCCTCATCAGCTCCATGGGGCATTAAAAGATCTCTTAAATGAGGGGTCCATAAAGGAGAGTTATCTGACCAATCACCTTTCCAAGAATAATGGCCCCAAGGATTACGAAGTCTCAAGAGTCTGAAAGTAAAAATTTTAGTATACAAATTACTACACAGAACAGAAATAATAATTATTATTATGTGAAATTTTTATGCAAACATTGTAATGCAAACTTCTTTCTGTAAATTTGATAAATTTTGTGACATGTTCAATTCTTTGCATCAGGAACAATTTGAGCCTTTATTGACTTCATTTTCTCCATCATTTTCAGCACTGTGTATTCATAAAGCTTTCAATGATTGCAACATTAGTCAAAACTTCCATAACAGTGTGCAACCATTCATAAATTTTCATCATCATCTGAAAGATGCACTATTGGATTGTTCTCAAATGCAGTTTGGAGAATCATTTATTGTTGCTGTTAGATCTTCCTTCATCAGCAGAAGATTCTTCATCATACGATAGACTAAGAAAAGAATCTTTCATTATCAGAATGCATAACGTCAGGCCAAATTTTTGTCATGACTTTTCAGAATATACTCAAACAATTCCACAACAGTACAGAATACACTGAATCCTTAATGTTGTATGCAAATTGAAGTTCAATGATGCTGACAGTTCACCAGCTTTTGAATAAAAGTCTATCTTGTAGATTATTTTAAAATTCTAGATCATCCCCTAATCTGTCAATTGGATCAATGACATAACACTTGCCAGAAGATGTTTGTGAAACTGATTTTCACGTTTTTACCATCAAAGAGAATTTTCGAAAAGACTTTTTCAAGACAGCAAAATCATTTTTGTGCTTGACTAGTACCAAGCACAAGAATGGCTTTGCTGAACATGTTTTCACAAACATGTTCACAACATATCTTTGCATAAGCAGGAGAAAGAGACAACAAAGCCATTCTTGTGCTTGGTACTAGTCAAGCACAAAAGTGACTTTGCTGTCTTGGAAAAGTCTTTTTGAAAATTCTCTACGATGGTAAAAACATGTGAAAAATCAGTTTTTGAAAATTAAGGTTGCATCCAATCACTTGAATGTGTTTTGTAGCATAACAGCAAACTTATCAAGTTTTTACATACCCTTGGTTTCTTGGATTTCCCTATAATCAGAAATTTGAGTAGATGGATGTTAGAAGCATTCATGCACATGGGCACTGTAATTCTTTCCTTATTTTGTTTAAATCCCTTAACAGCTCTTTTACCATTTTCAGAAAAGATGAACTTTAGTAGCCAACATCCCAACAACTCAGTTTCATCAGCATTGTATACCTGAGAGAACAATAAATCATTATCCTCTACAAATCTCTCAAAAACACTACAGTGGTTCCTTTGCAGTAATATAATTGGCAGGCTTTTGTTCTCCACAAATATCCAGAATGCTGTGTCATTATTTGAATTTTGAAGCCAACGATCAGAGCCAATGATCAAAATGAACATTGTCCAATGAATGACAAAATGAGCAATGTTCATTTTCTCATTCTTGCTTTCTCAAGGACCAAGACCAGTAATTGGTACTCCTTTAGTACATTTTACATTAAACCATTTGTAAAAGTTGCATCTAATTCAGCCAAGTCTTGGTGTAATAGATGCAGCAAGGCTTCTATAAGCTTAGTAGGTACAGTAGACCCCCCTATAATGCTTAGATACGTTCCACGCTAATCGAATTTTACGTTGTAGGAATGATTAAATACATGAGCCAATCGCAGCCCGATAGGTGGGAACTTTACGGACTAAGGCTGTTCGAAAGGTTTTCTTCTATAAAATTAACCGATTCTAGACTAATTCGACTCAACATTTCCAAAATACGTATAATTTTTTGGGAATAATCTGTATAAACTATGCTATAAACAAAAAATTATAGGATTACTTACCGAGTGTGTACCGTTCGACTACGCCGTTGCTTAAAGCTGGTTTTCATCGCGGAACAGCACATGAAACGACGGCCGCAATTTCTGATAACGAATTTTTGGCGGAAAAATAACTTGACCTTTGGAGACATCATTAATATAAATAATTTTTATGGACGTTGAATAAGAAGTGTTTCTTTCACAAGAAATGTATAAAATTAGTGCTGTATTAGACTTACGGTACCTAATTTACATACTGTACAGACGATAATAAACTCAACTTACTAGCCTAAAATCTCCGTAGCGTGTTGCCAGGCGGCAGAAAGCATATATATAATTATAATAAAGTTACAATAAATTAAGTTAATATATAATTATATATACAGTACCTAATTTATATATAATTAATATATAATTATATGTACAGTACCTAATTTATATATAATTTATATATAATACTAAACAGACGATAGCAAACTCAATTTAGCCGCTCCGTAGCGTGGCGCAGGGTCGGAGGTAAGTAGTTTGGCTGCTCATCCACTATTGGTCCAGACTCTATCAATCTTGTAGCGAAACGACATTATAGGAGGTACTTTATACGAAAGTTTCTACAATTTTTTCGCTACGTTATAGGAATTGTCATTATAGGAACGTACGTTATAGGGGGGTCGACTGTACTTTGCTTTCTACTATGAATGATGATAACAGCTTTTCTTTCTTTCTTTTTTTTTGTCACTTTTAATGTTGAGAACCCAATGTTAGAACTGTTAATAATTTTCTGCAACTTACACCTTTTTCCAGTTGGCTGATAATTTCTATTTTCTTTGTCAAATTTAGTTCCACATGTTTTCATTTTATGCCTTTGCCATTTTCATTCCTTTGGATAATCAGATTACAAGTGTGAGAATTGAACAAGAAAGAAAAAAAAAAAAAACAACTCAAGTATAATCTCATCAGAAGCTAATATATGTTAACTTTCTGACCTGAAAGAGTTTCAACTTATGCTGGAAGTTACATCTTTTCCACAACTTTTAGATACCTCTAAAGTATTTGCTGCTTTTAATATAACAAGGAACGGCTGGTTCCAGTCAGTTGTCGTCCATTCTTCATCCCTTTAAGATCTGTGCCTGTGTGTTATTACCATCTGAAGATTCATTCGTGCCTTCAGATTTCTTGTTGTCCTTTGGCTTGTGTACTGCTATTTTCCAGAACTGTTAATAGATGTCAAGAACTTATCTCCTGTTCTTCTCAACTTGGAATTTCTAGTTTGAACTTGTAAGGTACTGAAATCTGCAAACTCTCTCACTCTCTCTCCATGACGATAATGCACGTAAATGCAAATACTGTCTTCTTTAGTTGTGTAACATATTGTACAAACTTTTATACTGTCTAATAAATGTTTAAGTGTACAAGTGACTCCTTTCCAACTGAATCTCATCATTTCCTACTCCATCCTCTTATCCCTAGTCTCACATATGAGACTGCATTATTGCCATTCAGAAAAATGCTCAAAACTCATATAGTAGGCATAACATTCTTGGTGTCAGAAATTTTCAAGTGTTATCACTTATATTTGGCAATAGGAAGGCTAAAAAGACATAAAAAACTCCACTAAAATAACTTAAACCTCATACTGGTTTCAGAGAAAAATGCCAAACAGAAAAGTTACATTGGTGTCATAATAAAACATTAAATAGAATCACACAGTAATGCATTGACATCACCCGGCAACCCCCCACAGTGGTGTCAGAATTATCACACACCATTGCAGAAACCTTACACAAATGTTACATAAATGCTGGTATCGCTGTTGAGTAGAAGCTGACAGTTAATGTTGATGGTTAGTAATGAAGAAGTTTAGTTTAGAGACAAAGTGTTTTTTCTAGAAGTTTAATCAGCCTGTTGATTCTAATCACTGACTTTGCTGAATGAATGATGGCTGAAAAGCAATTTGAAAAACAACTTATGAGTGACTCCTAAATGACTGGTGCTGTATAAACAAAACACCAAACTCTTGCTGAGCTTATTATTACTTTAATTTCAAACGTTTTCAGCCCAATTTCAATAGGCCATCTTCAAGAACTATTCGAATACAACTTACAAGAACATAGTTGTATTCGAATAGTTCTTGAAGATGGCCTATTGAAATTGGGCTGAAAACGTTTGAAATTAAAGTAATAATAAGCTCAGCAAGAGTTTGGTGTTTTGTTTATATTTGTAAAGATACGGCTGAGGAAGTGAGAATAGACTGGTGCTGTTGTGGAAGAAAATTTCTTTTATAAGTGCTGAAACACAGACATAATGAGGTTTGAATTCTTTCAATAAAATCCCTGCAAATATCAGGTGATGGTTTCAAGTCCAATCCTGAAAGATGTTTGCACCAACTTGTCCAGTAATTGTGCAATAAACATATTAGGACAAGAAAGACTTGTGACAACAAGATTCTGTAACAAAATGGATAATTTTTCATCATCAAATTGCTTTTGATCCTACAACTGATCTTTTGACATATAGAAAAGTACATAACTGTAGATCTCACTTCATCTTGATTTCTATCTGGGATCTCTAGCACACCATGTCCAAACAAATTCTGATTTGCAGAATATTTGCATGCCAAATTATTATTGGACAATTCTAAATAGATTATCAGTTATTTTTCAGTTTAACAGTATTTGTTGTTGAAAACATGATACTTAACTTGTATGCAATTTAGAAGGTATCATATCTAAAATTGTTTTTAACATCTGTTTCTTGTGTTTTATTTCTTAATTCATTGTAGATGTAAATATAAAATAAATGAAACACAAAACAGAATAACTGAAATGCACTAAGTGTTCAAAATACAAATTTTCAGCCAAACAACAAAACTTTTTTCATTTTATTTCTAAAAAATTAAAATATTCCAGAAACTAGGTTATACTATACTGCGGAAACTCACTATCTTGGTATTCATCTAGCAGAATGGTGCAAGTTCAGAAAAATGAACTTGAACCATTTCAGTCTTCTAACACCTGTTTTGGGTCACAAATTTCAAACAGATGGAATGTCTAACGTTTTGGTGTTTGAATGTGTCAGACAAAGGAGAGCTTATACGAAAATTTGAATTTAAAATCCTATAAGTAGTGACCTTCACAGCACTTACAAAGCCTTTAAGGTGACCTTAGGTTACTTCAAAGGTCTTCAGAGATTATTTCAATACTCTTGCATTGTCAACAACCCAACTCAATTTCTGGCAAACAATGCTCTCTAGAACACCTGGAAGGCATTTACAGCTAAATATTCTTAGGAAAAAATGATGCTTTGTTTTCATATTCCTGATTTATCTTTACAGTTTGTCTAATGAGGAGATGGCATGAAATTGGGATTGTCAATTTTAATCTAACACATGATGAGGATATAGTGCATCCCCAATGACTGACATATGCCAAGTAGTAAGGCACACTACTCAAAATTAAATGAGAAAAGTGAAGTTGAAAATTGCACACTCACTTAAAATCTTTAGAATTTCTATTATTTATGAAGCAGTTGGTGGCTCTGTGGAGGTGTGCCAATTTCATAATTAGGAAGTTGGTGTTTCAAATCTCGTTAGTTTCAATGTTGTTTTTTTTAATATAAAACTATACTATTAGTATTTTAAAATTATTTTCAAATATTCATGTACAGTACATACGGGATTCATATACAGTAGACCTCCCTATAACGCTTAGATACGTTCCACGTTATTTGAATTTTACGTTGTAGGAATCACATGAGCCAATCGCAGCCCGACACGTGTGAAGTTTACGGACTAAGGCTGTTTGAAAGGTTTTCTTCTATAAAATTAACCGATTCTAGACTAATTCGACTCAACATTTCCAAAATACGTATAATTTTTTGGGAATAATCTGTATAAACTATGCTATAAACAAAAAATTATAGGATTACTTACCAAGTGTGTACCGTTCGACTACGCCGTTGCTTAAAGCTGGTTTTCACCGCGGAACAGCACATTAAACGGCGGCCGCGATTTCTAATAACAAATTTTTCACATAAAAATAACTTGACCTTTGGAGACATCATTAATATAAATAATTTTTATGGACGTTGAATAAGAAGTGTTTATTTCACAAGAAATGTATAAAATTAGTGCTGTATTAGACTTACGGTACCTAATTTACATACTGTACAGACGATAATAAACTCAACTTACTAGCCTAAAATCTCCGTAGCGTGTTGCCAGGCAGTAGAAAGCATATATATAATTATAATAAAGTTACAATAAATTAAGTTAATATATAATTATATATACAGTACCTAATTTATATATAATTAATATATAATTATATGTACAGTACCTAATTTATATATAATACTGTACAGACGATAGTATACTCAATTTAGCCGCCTAAACTCTCCATAGCGTGGCGCTGGGCGGCAGAAAGTAGTTTGGCTGCTCGTCCACTATTGGTCCAGATTCGACCAATCTTGTCGTGACAGGAGTTGGTGATGACGTTTTACGAGTCATTTTATACGAATATTGCTACAATTTTTTCGCTACGTTATAGGAATTTCCGTTATAGGAACCCACGTTATAGGGGGGTTGACTGTATATTATTTATTTATAATTTCTTTGGGAAGATTAATGAATTTGAATATCTTATCGATATAAACAAAATTATCATTATTCAAGACCAATTCTGTTAGTAAAACAGACATTTTTATCAACATTATTCAATTTGTGGATAACATTATTCAATTTGTAATCAGCAAATTAGATGTAGAAGCATGTGAAATGATAAACATTTCTGCAGTGTGTACATTGAATAAATGCAGCAATTTTACAAATACAAGATTTATATATGTCACTGAAAAAAAAATTTGATTAACATTTAAAAATACTTCTCTGTCATCAACTAATTTGGAGGAAAACCATCCATATTGTATTGTAAGATACGCACGTGGTGAGTGTATTTCCAACTAGAGGAAAAGCAAACAATACTACTAGATAATCTTTCTTCACCCATGTTTATTTTCTGTCTCAGGATTCTTTTATATTCGGACACTCCTCGTTTGGTGTTTTCTAGACAATTTTGGCAGTTAATAAAAATCTCGCAACAATACTATTCACCGCGGTACAAAAAAAAAAAAAAGGAACTATAACTAAATACTTAAAACTACTTATACAAAATGGGAGGAAGAAAAGATAAGCAATAGGATAGCTGGATATTTGATAGAAAAAGAATGGGTGCCCAAAGTGTCGACGATCTTGGATTGATGGTGGTGATATCGGACTTATCAAATCTTGGAGAAATAGTTGATTGGTTAACTCTATCCGACTCTCAGAATAAGCTCCCAAATATTCTCTTCTCGGGATACGCTTCTATCTCCTCTCGATTATTAGCTTCAGCTTATTGTCTCCTTCCTTCTTCTGTCAATAACAGAGCAAACTGGAGGTTTTACAACACGTCCTCTCTCTCCAACATCCAAGCAAAAAGTGAAGTCTTGTTCGACCCCTTAGCCCTCGGGCTACCGCCTTTTCTTTGTCTTGAAAATATGTCACCACCACCTTACCAGGAAAGGATTAGGGAAGAAGTTTCTGGAAGGCGATAGACAAAGGAACTAACAAAAAATAAAAGAAACAAAGGGAATACTAATAATAAAATATACAAAATAAGGCATGCGGCCACAGTATCATATTTGAAAATATCAGTGTGCTTAATTAATTGTTGATGTATTATAGAATGTAATATTATTATATCTTCTCAAGATGAAATTTCTTGGTACTACTCTTACTTGTAAACAATTCTGTACTTGTTTTATAAAGTTTTTAATTTGCTGATAAAAATAAATGTAACATGGTTGACATATTTGGAGTATAATTTTCAATTACACAATTACTTTATTGCCAGAGTAAGTACTGTACATACATGAATATACAGAAAATGTTTTGTTTTTAAATATATATTGTTAGGTAGCATTTCTTAACTGCTTTTGATGTTGACTTGTTATTTGAAATAAATCAATTTTATTGTTTTATTACCATTTATTGTACATTTGTAGTTAACTAAAAATAAATCAGCTTTTCTCTCTGACAATATAATAAATTTAAAAATACCAAGAATAAAGTGAAAATTACAGTTTTATTTTTAAAAAAGTCACATTACAGAACTTAGTATATCAAAACTTGTTTTAACTCTTTTAGAAAAGAAAAAAATAAAGATATATTTACCTTAATCCATCAATATCTTGTACATCTAATACAGAATACGCATGACGAGGCCTTAATCCTACTGTATGATAATCTTGATCATTTACTTGCATATTTCCTCCTCCACAAGATGCTCCCATTAAAAATCTTAAAACAACAGAGTAAATATTAGAGAAAAAATTTTATATTTATTAAAAAAAATTATTGAAGTCTTTAAATTCATATTTTTTAATTCCTTTTTAATTTACATCACTTACTTTGCAATATATAAAACCCGAATTTATAAAGGCATGGATAATGTATTTTAAATGTATTAAATTATTATATACTTCAATAATTAATTTTCATTTTAAATATTAAAATATTTAATATGTTAATTAACAGTGTATCTTTTATCTTTACAGAAAATTTCCTATTATTATTGTTTATGTATTAGAAAATAAAAATGAACTTTCATTCTAAAAATGGCAAATAGCAAAGTCGTTTCATTTAACAAAAAACATTTTCAAAGCTTTTGGTTCACTTTCAAATTTAATGAACTCATAATTAGTAAGTTTTGAAAAAATTTTTTTTACTGAACTATAAAAATCATTAACTTTGAGTTAATTAAGCTAAAGATATGGAGTTTGTTACTAATATAATTATTTTAAAAAAATGATGTTCTAATGATGTTAAAAGAATATAACAACATAATTAACTATCTAACAAAAATTACAATCAAGAATTTTAAAATAAATTTAAATTTTATTTTACCTTGCTGATCTTGAGCTAAGAAGCTGTGCCCAAATTAAATCCTGATCAATACCTTCTTCATTTGGTATTGAAGAAGCTGTATAAAAATCATTTCCATTGAAATATAAAAACTGATTAACAAAAAAAATAAACATGCTAGAATTTACAGCATTTATTTAGTATATTTAAAAAAAATTTATGGCTAATTCCACAAATTATAAAAGACAGATTTAAAATTGCATTTAATACTTTAATTGAACATACGTTGTAAAGGTATGCTTTCACAAGGAGCACCTGTTAGAGTGCATAACCCTTCAATAGCTCGTCCGGATACAAGAGCTTCATAACAACCATGCAATTTTGCTACAGCTTTTTCTATCAAGGGAACCCATAATTGTTTTCTTTTTGCCTGAAAAAAATTTTTTTTTATTTGTTTTAAAATTGAAAAATTTTAATACTTGCATTTGAAATAAAACAAAAAAAAAAGCAGTTCAATTAATCATGCAATTACAACAAATAAACATAGTTGTATTTAACCAAAAATATGATTCCACTCAAATCTTGATAAATAATAATGGTAATGAAAAATTAATTTTATTTTGTACTCTTTATTGTACTATTAATTAAAAACATTTTTTTGGTCTTATAAAAGACTGTGGGATCTGCAAGTGTCTGTAATGCTGAAACTTGCAGGAGAGTGATAGAGAACAATTTACCATGAATACAATCACACCAAAAGACGCTAAAAACTAATTATATATACACAATTCTTATATACGGTATATTCACAAAATTCACAAAGGTTTAGCATGTGACAGCTCACAAAAATTAGGCAGATGAAGAAAAAGGGGAATGGTCCACTGAATACCAAAAATATTCACACTTTGGGAATGTGAAGCAGAGACAAATCCTATCCACAGTGACAAAAGTTGTCTCTTACCGACAGTTCCTTTGATGTTAATGGATTGAAAAAAAAAAAAAAAAAAAAAAAACAGACTTACACCTCTTCTTGACACAAAGAAAGCAGACAAACGCTTTGATGAACCTGACTCTAGGGCAAGACACACTTTCCTTTCAGTTCCTGGACAGAATGCTGAATTCCGCACTGAACACACCTTTTATACAGTACCATTCACGCAGATCTGCCATACAAAATCCGTTCAAAGTCATGTGAGAATTACAACAAAAGAAGAATGTGAACATTGTGGATAAAAGTACAAATAATAATTTACATCACATACATAGTCAACTGACAAACAAAAACTAAAAAAGGATAATTAACAATATATGGAGGAAACAAAAAATATATATAATAAATATATATATATATTTTTAACATAGCCCAACAATAAATCATTCGACACAAAACATACTGTATTTACTCATGTATAGGCCATATGCATGTATAAAGCCACACCCCATTTATGAAACGATATATTTGAAAAAAAATAAAAATCTTAGAATTCCACTAAGGGATGAGAGTAGAGACATGGTATACAGAAATATGGCAACACTGCAAATTTCAAATGGGAATTAAGTGATAGTTAATGCTTATTGTTGAATGCTTGCTCAGTGCATATTAAACATGGGTTGAGTGAGAGTGCGTAACACAGCAAAGTTTAAATTGCAAGTGATGTATTATGCACAAGAAAATGGAAATTGAGCAGCAGGAAAGAAGTTTGATGTAGACGAAAAAAATTTGGAGCAATGGATTCAAACAAAGGATGTTCTTGAGAAAACATCACAAAATCAGCAATTGTTTTGTGGAAAGACAGTGAAATTTTGGATGTCCACCATGTTTGTTTTGTATAATTGTATATAGAATAGGAACTCTTTTCTTCTTTCCTATAATTATTTCATCTTTAACCCCTTCCTGTCACATTACAGGAGCCTTACTGTTCGTGGGTCCTGATTTGCCAGTGTACAAAGGGAAAAGAAGGGGATCCTGCCTGAGGGGGACTGGGGGAAAACAGGAGTTGACGAAAGTTACTTTTGAGTTTGCCATCAACAAGAGAGGAGGTCAGGTGAGGGAGACTGAGTTACAAGTGATGAGGATTCAGGCCAAGGAAGATAGGAGATAGAGGGTTAGTATAGAGCATGTGCAGACAGTGACTTGGAACTAAGTGAGTGGGCCTTTCTGTACAATCTCAAGGCACATCTTTAATGGTAACTAGTTATTACCCTAGATGTGAATAGATTGGATATTCACCATTCACAAAGTGAATATAGTCAATATTATCCCATTATCAGGACCTCCTAATCTAAGCTACCGGTAGACTATCCAACCATCCTTCATCCTTTCTTTTCTCTTTCTAGTTGTAAGTAGTAATAGTATTAGGTTTAAGTTGAATTGTAATTGTCTTAGTTTTAAGCTGAATTGTATATTTATTAATTGTTGCAGGAAGTTCAAGGAACAGCGGGACTTAGTACATATATACTTTTGTTCTCTGTAATGGGCAGACTGACCCCTGTTCTTTCATTTCAATCAATAAAACGTGATTTGACTGTTATTTGCATTGTCTCGTTGTCACACGTTCTGCATTTTTCACAAAATATCACAACCTGGAAGAAAATCTGTTGAGCTATATCTGTGAAATTTGGAAAAATGGATTTTCTGTATCTGTTGAAATGATTCAGTTTAAATTCCAAAGGACTGTCCAAAATATGAAAATTCCTGCAAGTGAATTTAAGGGAATTTATAGCTGGGCAAGAAGTTTTATGGCATGACATAAGCTTGAGATTTGGCAACAAACTTCAATGACACAGCAGCTTCCCAATGGCTACAAAGAGAAACTGCTTGGATTTCAAAAACATGTCCTCAGCTTAAGAAAGATGCATGACTATAACTTAAGGGCAATAGGCAATGCTGATGAAATTCCTGTCTTCTTTGATATGTCAAGTGACACTACAGTCAACCAGGCAGGTAAAAAAAACATTTCTGGTGCAAACAGTGGGAGCAGAAAAGCAGCGTTGTACTGCTGTACATCACCGATGATGGAAACAAGCCACCATCTAACATCATTTTTAATTGTAAAACCCTGCCAAAAGAAACACTACTGCCTGGAATATTGGTATGAGTTCAAAATCAAGGCTGGATGACAGAAGAACTCTACATGAATTGGCTGAAGTTAGTGTGATTGTGGTATCCAGGTGCACTGTTACATTGGCAGTCCATGTTGATTGTTGACAGCTTCCGAGGTCATATGACCAAAATTGTAAAAAAAAGATGAGAAAAGAGAAAAGTGACATGGTTGTGATACTAAGAGGAATGACTGGAATGCAGCAACCACCTGATGCATCCATCAAACATCCTTTTAAAGCTCATATGTAATGTTTCTACTGTGATTGGAGGTGCACAGTTACAAAGACAACACCAACCAAGAGGCTAAGAAAACTGTCCATCTCAGATGAGTGAATGGATTGTGGCTTCATGAAAACTAATACCAGAAAAAATTATGTCCAAAAGTTTCAAAGTCACATCCATTTCCAATGCGATCATTGGGTCATAGACGATGCAGTTTATCTCGCTGAGAATTAAGACTCAAGTGACATTGGTAGTGACAGTGAAGTTTCACATGAAGAACATAAACAATAACTGTAAGTTTCAAATGAAAACATTTATTATAATTTTTATAATAATAGCATTATTGCTCAGACAGCTCCTTTCTTTTCTTCTTTTTCTTCATGCGCTTTTCTTCTTACTTCTTGCTCCCTGGTGGCCTAAAACCTCCAAATAATCTCACTACAAGTCCTAAGGTATGTAAAGACAACTAATGATGATAAACTGCTTTAAAATTTTAAATTGTTTTAAAATTATTCATTATCTCAAGTATAAGCTGCAACCTAATGTTGGACAAAAAATTTATGGTAAAAATGTGTGGCCTATATACAGTAGATCCCCCTATAAGACGGTAGATATGTTCCGTTCTTTATGAATCCGATTTTGTAGGAATCACAGCCAATCACAGCCCGACACGTGTGAAGTTTACGGACTACGGCTGTTTGAAAGGTTTTCTTCCATAAAATTAATCGATTCTAGACTAATCCGACTCAACATTTCCAAAATACGTATATTTTTTTTGGAAATAATCCGTATAAACTACGCTATAAACAAAAAATTGTAGGATTACTTACCGAGTGTGCACCATTCGACATCGCCGTTGCTCAAGCTTGTTTTCGTCGCGGAACAACTCAGCAAACCGCAGCCGCGATTTCTGATGTTATTTTTCTGCGAAAACTTCGCTGAACTTTGGAGACATCATTAATATAAATAATTTTTATCGCCGTTGAATAAGAAATGTTTCTTTCACAAGAAATGTATAAAATTACAGGGGTATTAGACTTACGGTACCTAATTTACATACTGTACAGACGATAGTTCACCTAAACTCTCCGTAGCGTGGTGCCAGGCGGCGGAAAGCATATATATAATTATAATAAAGTTACAATAAATTAAGTTAATATATAATTATATATACAGTACCTAATTTATATATAATTATATGTACAGTACCTAATTTATATATAATTATATGTACAGACGAAACTAAACTCAATTTACCGCCTAAACGTCTGTAGCGTGGCGCTACGGACGGCGGGAAAGTAGTTCGGCTGCCCGATGACGTTTTACGTAATTATAGGAGTTTTTTTTACCGTTGTGTACGGATACTGCCACAATTTTTTCGCCGTCTTATAGGAATCGTAATTATAGGAACCAGTCTTATAGGGGGATCTACTGTACATATAAATACAGTAATTGTTTTAAATTAATATATTTACTGTCATCATAGCAAAAAAAGAAATGTTCGTTATATCACAACAAACTTATTTTTTATTCTGCTATTTTTTAATAGCAGAATCTGCTTATTGCAATCACTTTAGAATTCATTTATATATTAATACTGATAATTATCAATAACATTAAATGGGGTAAAAAAACTATAATTAATGAAAAATTTGGTTTTACTGACTCTGACATTAAAAAGATATATTATTTAAAACAGTTAAATATATAATTTGGAAATTTATTACTTATAATTATTATTAATGTTAATTCATCCAGTATTGATTGCCTGCTATTTTTTTTGCCATATTGTCTTTAACAATAGCTTTAACAAACAATTGAAGTAAAAAATACCAAGAATTTAAACTACTGCATTGCAAGCAAATAATGATTAAACAATATATTTTTAAAGTACTAGTTAATTAATATTGATAACAGTAACTGATAATGATTTTAAATATTTATATATCCATGCCTTTTGTCTGTATTTTAATTTAATTAAACTTTTGGTTCATTAATCCCAATCAATACTGTAGTTTTGATTGTTAAATAAACATTGACTAGTATATGATAAATCTGTTGTTTGCAATTTATGAATAAAAATCTGATAATGATTGTTACATGTTCATGTCAATAGTACAAAAAGCTAAAGTTGTATCATTCATTGTATATATTGTCAGTCTCTGTTGTCGTCAAGTAAAAAAAATTGTTTTCTTTTGCTTATGCTTTATTTTTTTTTGCGTATGTATGTATGTATGTATGTATGTATGTATATTATGTATGTATGTATATTATGTATGTATATATATATATATTAAAAAACGTCGGACTATACAGGGACAACTGTATATATATATATATACAGTTGTCCCTCTATAGTCCGACGTTTTTTAATCCGACATGCTCAGTAGTCCGACGCACCTCCCGTCAAGGTACCCGTCCCCGTTACGTGTCTGCTTGCACAGAAGCATGTCGCAATGTGAATCTTCCCATCCAATTCTTACTCGATGACACACATTTCGTGTGTTTTATGTGAGCAGTTCTGTTCGAACAGTTGGAGTAGAGAATATTGTAAGTTACTGCTAGCAAAACAATGCGAAATATGTAATTATTTTCGGTAATCCGGACACTTTTGGTAATCTGACACACCTTTGGTCCCATACCTGTCGNATACTGTCAATGTTATTATTGTAATTGTACGAAAAAAAATGAATTTTTTTTGTTTTTTTTTGTGCAGTGTTTTGGGCATTTTTTGTGTGGCAGCACTGTATCGGCAGTAGGGGTTATATATACTGTCAATGTTATTATTGTAATTGTAAAAAAGGGGGGGATTTTTTTTTGTATTTTGTTGTGCGGTGTTTTGGGCATTTTTTGTGTGGCAGCACTGTATCGACAGTGGGGGTTATATATGGTGTGCGGGACTGGCAACGGGGGTTCTGGTTTCTGGCGTTTGAAGGAGAAAGTGTGTCTTTCGGGAGTGCTGTATGAAGACTCTTTGTGTAAACCGCCACATGCTACGCCCATACCGACTTCATGTACTATGCTCTTGTATATAACTTTTGTACAAAAAGATAGTTTTAATCGTGTATCTTGCTCACCTCCTCCTTTTGTGGTAACCAAATTCATTCATCCCTGCGAATATTAACCCCACGGATATTCGCAGATCCCACAAAGTTAAAAGTCATTTATAAGCTAAGAGAATGTTAACTATAACCAAAACTCTGATTACAATAAGGAAAGTTTTTAAGTACCGTATTTACTTGTGTATAAGATGATCTTGCATATAGGACGAGGTGAGACTTTAAAGATGAAAATAAAGAAAATTAGATTTATTAATACAATTCTAATTTTATTTCATTTAATCATAAATAGAATATTATCAAATGCATGTATTAAGACAAACAACCATGTTTTCTTGATGCTATCACTTTTTGTCTACTTGGACTCTCCCTCTGAAGCTTTGTTACAACTCTCCACTTTTTCATTCTCACTCCACAAAACATCATCCTCTGATCTGTCAAGTGAATTTGAAATGCAATATTTACTGAATTACTTTTCTATCAGCTTTTGAAGAATGCTTTTCTACGCACTTGATACCCACATAGCAAAACTAAAAGATTATAACATACATGTCCAAAAAAAAAGCTTATTTTTTAAGTTTCAGAATGTGCAAATATTGATTAAAAATACCAATTTAACAAATATGAAATAACTACATTAATAATGATTGCTAAATGACCAGCTATTTTCAGACCGTCTATTTGAAAGTGACACTCACCTTAACCTCGTTAGCACCCTGATATAATGGCAGCATGAACTATACACGGTTCACAAAAATTATTGCATAAATGTAAAGAATCCTTCAGTCGCACGCATAGGATGACATAGGTTTTTGAAGCAGTGAAAAATGAACAAAAACCTCATCTTATATGTGAGTAAATACGGTATATTGCAACTTGTTTTGGGGCATGCTAATTCTAGTATCATTAGACAACTGATAACAATAACTGTGGAGATATAAGGCGATATTATGGTATGTAGTAAATATATTGTTAAAAATAGCAAACATTATATATTAAAATTATGTTTTTTAACTTAAGATTAAATTTCTTAACAATAGTGAGGTTGCAGCCAACATTTTTAACGTGAAAACATGTACATTGGACGTTTAGCACCGCCTTCCTATAAGTCTAGAGGTTTGACAATGGCATTTAGAATGTCAGTGGAATCATTCTCGACATTCCAAACACTATTGTCAAACTTCTAGGCTTCTAAGGCAGCGCTGAACATACGACATACATGTTTTCATGTTAAAAACGTTGGCTGCAACCTCGCTAATATAATTTACATTCTAATTCTACTATAGTTATACTGGTAAAATTATTAAGTTAGATTTATTATCTTACAAAGATTTAGTACACTTCTAATTTACTTATTTAATTAATTTTTTATACCAAAAATCCAACAGTTAGATTATTGTTTGGTTACAAATTATTAAATTCATAATGTAGATACTGCAAACTGCAGAATAAAAAAATAACAAAAGTAAATTAAATAACAAACAGAACAAGCAAAGTTAAATATTATATAAAAATTGTTTATTCTTAATGGTGATTTACAGTTCTCTAAAAAAATATCTAAAATTTAATTATTAAGAAATTACAATTAATTTTATTTAGCGAAAGCCATAAAGTTAAAACATAAAATTTATTATGCAAAAAATATTTAATTTTAGAATTTTGATTTAATTAGTATCAAATAAAACTTTAATAAAGATTTCATTAATTAAAAAATTATCATAATTTTAAGTATAACATACATTGCAAAGCCTGATATATATAAAAACACATCACCAAACAATCGCCTAAATAATCAAGCTATAACTACACTAATTTAATAATTAATATTAATTAATTTGCTACTAGAGGTAGATGTTAGGCACCATCTCTTAACTAAATTAGTAATTATAATTTTTAATAATTTATTAAATAATTTAGAACCATTTGGAAGAAAAGAATTGACCCAGGGCAGGGATTAACTGCATAAGGTTATATCTAAATTTAAATACATCTGGAAGTGAAGGATTGCTTGGGGTCCGAGTGGCGCAATTGGCAAGCAGGTTCAAGCCCCATCCTGGGTCAGTTCTTTTCTTCCAGATGATTCTAAATTATTTCATAAATTATTAAAAATTATAATTATTAATTTAGTTAAGAGATGACACCTAATGTCTACTTCTAGTAGCAAATTATTTAATATTAATTATTAAATTAGCTGAATTAAAGCCCAATTATTTAGGTGATCATTTAGTGATGTTTCTTTATCATAATTTATTCTTTCAATAAATTAACAAAATTATATAAAAGAAGAGTTAATAAAACATATTCTTTTATATAAGAAAGTTTTATTTTTAAATTCCCAAATTCAATAGTAAATTAATATTTAAAATTTTATTTTAAGTAAACTTTTAAAATTTATCAAGGTAATTCACCTGTGAATAGAGCAGACATCCTCGAGAATCACAAGGTAATAAATCATCAACTAATACAGTTGTCCAACGTCCATCTTTGCATAAACGAACTTGATAAGCACCTTCAGAACATATTTCTCTTGTAATCATTACACGCTCAACTAATTCTGGTCTTTCAGCTAACACAGCCAAAGCACTCAAAAGCCAACAATTTCCTAATATACCTAAAATATAAAACATTAAATATGAATTTAAATCTAAATTTAAATTTAGATTAATTTAGATTGTTTTAATTTAAATTAAATTTAAATTAAAACAATAATAATAATGATAATAATAATAAATCTAATAATTTACATCTATTTAAATAATCAGAAAATTTAATAATGCCAAAACAACCAGCAGAACAGTAAAAACTCACATCAGAAAATTTTTTTTCCATATTTAATGGATATTGTCAGGCTGTTAACATTTAAAATCAGAACTGTTGGAACATATCAATTGAAAAATTATGACTGTTCATTGATTGATAGAGTGATCAATATGATCATCTCCATAAATGCAAAACAGGTTATCATACAAAGTAAAATCAGATGGGATTAAAGAACATCTTCCATGCCATAGGAAAGAATCTGCTTCCTTAAAGTTGATGGCCATATTTCTTCTGGCAGCTTTATATATCTCTAAAAGCTCCAAATATCTGAGTTGCACCCTGTAGTGTGTACAATGCAAAATTTGCTTTTGATCAAAATGGACCCCAATGTCAGGATCATTGCCAAATGTGGCTATGGCCGTGTTGTTAAGATGCTTGTTGATAGTTTGTTTGATGTTCCTTTAGATGGCTGCTGTCCCCATGTACTCTAATGCTCTGTTAATTCTTTGATCAGTGAAGCATTTGAGTCTAGCTTATTTGGAGATAGAATGTGCTCAGTTCTATCTGCAAGTTCAAGATTTTGAATTTCTAACTCTAGTTTTAGGCTTAGCTGGTCTTCTAGCTTTTTTAGGCCTAATATTAGAGCTAGGGAGATCTCTCCTTATACTTTAACCAGAGTTGATAGATATACTGGTCTCAGCTATGTTCTAAAGTAGATTTAATGTGTCAGATTACTGATAGCTGGCACTAAAGTTGCTTTATGGTAAGAAGTTGGTTTATCCATTTAGTCAGTAGGTACTTTTGCCATTTTCAAGCATTTTTATAATTTTTTTCTACAAGAAAAAGAAACATCAGCCTGCTGAATAAATGTTTTGTGACTAGGTGTAAGTCTGGCTACTGCAAATCTAGTGAGAAGTGGCATTTTTTTACATCACTTCCAAATCAATTAGATAAGTAGAAACATATAATATAGTATCTTGAAATGATTTACAACTCACAAGAAAATCACAAATATGTGAATTGCATTTTGATGAAAGATTTCTTCCAAAACATTTAAAACTGTTTGCAGAATACTAGCATATCAACTATTATCATCAACAAAATATGTAATCAACACATTATCCTTCGCTGAGAGATTATTTTTATTAAAACAAACGTTTTCGATCCATTCAATGGATCATCTTCAGGTTAAATAGAACACTTCATAAATAGAACAACACGTTCAAATATTCAAAAATACAAATAAACCGATAACATAAAAATAAATAATACTTGTAAATAATACAAATATTCAAAATAAATAACAATACCAATACTAAATATTAATACCGTCTGCCTAACTATATAGAGTTTCCTATGTATCATACTAAATTTCATGCGCTTTTTGTAAGTTTTTAACCGCAAACATCCAAGCGGAAGATCCTCCGCATCCCTTGCGTTAATACATTTTTCTTTACATAGGAAACTGTATATAGTTAGGCAGACAGTATTAATATTTAGTATTGGTATTATGTTATTTATTTTGAATAATTGTATTATTTACAAGTATTATTTATTTTTATGTTATCGGTTTATTTGTATTTTTGAATATTTGAACGTGTTGTTCTATTTATGAAGTGTTCTATTTAACCTGAAGATGATCCATTGAATGGATCGAAAACGTTTGTTTTAATAAAAATAATCGCTCAGCGAAGGATAATGTGTTGATTACATATTTTGTTGATGATAATAGTTGATATGCTAGTATTCTGCAAACAGTTTTAAATGTTTTGGAAGAAATCTTTCATCAAAATGCAATTCACATATTTGTGATTTTCTTGTGAGTTGTAAATCATTTCAAGATACTATATTATATGTTTCTACTTATCTAATTGATTTGGAAGTGATGTAAAAAAATGCCACTTCTCACTAGATTTGCAGTAGCCAGACTTACACCTAGTCACAAAACATTTATTCAGCAGGCTGATGTTTCTTTTTCTTGTAGAAAAAAATTATAAAAATGCTTGAAAATGGCAAAAGTACCTACTGACTAAATGGATAAACCAACTTCTTACCATAAAGCAACTTTAGTGCCAGCTATCAGTAATCTGACACATTAAATCTACTTTAGAACATAGCTGAGACCAGTATATCTATCAACTCTGGTTAAAGTATAAGGAGAGATCTCCCTAGCTCTAATATTAGGCCTAAAAAAGCTAGAAGACCAGCTAAGCCTAAAACTAGAGTTAGAAATTCAAAATCTTGAACTTGCAGATAGAACTGAGCACATTCTATCTCCAAATAAGCTAGACTCAAATGCTTCACTGATCAAAGAATTAACAGAGCATTAGAGTACATGGGGACAGCAGCCATCTAAAGGAACATCAAACAAACTATCAACAAGCATCTTAACAACACGGCCATAGCCACATTTGGCAATGATCCTGACATTGGGGTCCATTTTGATCAAAAGCAAATTTTGCATTGTACACACTACAGGGTGCAACTCAGATATTTGGAGCTTTTAGAGATATATAAAGCTGCCAGAAGAAATATGGCCATCAACTTTAAGGAAGCAGATTCTTTCCTATGGCATGGAAGATGTTCTTTAATCCCATCTGATTTTACTTTGTATGATAACCTGTTTTGCATTTATGGAGATGATCATATTGATCACTCTATCAATCAATGAACAGTCATAATTTTTCAATTGATATGNCTCTTTCTACCATATATTTTGAGCAGTCGTACAAGAAATGGTAAACATTATCTTCTTGTTGTTTATCAATATCACAGTTTTTATTGTCTGTTTTATGAAATCTATAGAGGTAACTTTTAAAATTCCCATGAGCTGTTAAGCACTGTGTGATTCCAAAAGAAGTTCTGAAATGTTTGTTGGCTTTCCTTTCTAGTATTGAGGGAAAGAAACCATAACAATGTCTTCCCGTATTGGAGGAAGTCCATTCCCTCTGCCATAGGTCGTTAGTTATATTCCTTATAGTATTTTGCAGTCCTTTAATAGGTATTTTTTGGTAAATAACATTTGAGTCGTGATTAGTGGCTCTTTTTGCCAATTTGTCTGCTTTTTCATTGTATTCCCTCACTCATAGGCCGACTGCCAACGACTGATGCTTCCTGCAGGCGGGAAAAAATTCAAAGCTGTGCATGACTGTCCCCTCCACAACTCCACTGAAAGAGACCTCCCACGCATCATTGGTTTACGCGGAAAAAATAAAAGTCTGATACTTTTTGAACAGACCTCGTATTTAGTAATTTAGATTAGAATATTTATTTACAAAGTGATAAAATATATTTCTGTTGCAAAACAATATATTCTGCTGTTATATGATAAATTTAAATTTCCAAAATTTTTCAAAGTTAAATTTGCAAATTTCATTGAAATCATTTAGAAAATGTTTCTTTGTAAGTATTTGTACCTATTATTTTTGTAAAATAATAATTTCTATGAAAACCTAGATTCTGAGAAATTATTTAATTTTTCTCAGAAGTATGTAATAATCATATCAATATATTATAACAACAGAAAAAGACATATACCTTGAGATATATCTGAAGGCATGGGTGTTCGAAATACAGCCCACCTAATCACAGCTTCACTGGGATCACAAGTTATTTCGTGAGGTCTAAGCCAATTACAGCCATATTCATCTCTTTGTTCTTCAGGATTATAATACAATGATTTGGGAAGTGGTGGAAAAGCATCATCAACAAATAATTCTTTATTCTGCAAAAAGTAAATTTTATTATTACTTTAATATTCTTTATAATTTTAATAAACTTTATTATTCTATTATTTCATTTTTTATATTCCTGTCTAACCCTGGAAATTGGCATGTCAATATTGAGTATTTCATATAAAATACAATTGCAATTGTTTGTTAATATTAGAATTTATGGGTTTTATTGACTAGAAGTTTTATACAGAGGAAACAAGAAAAAAGGGTCTTTTTTATTATGGGTAGTATATACAAGAACATTTGGGCAGGTTATCAGATCCTTATGAATTCTTGTCACAATTTTCATACCAAAAAAGTTGTTAAAAAAAATCTCAAATCCCTGAATGCATATAACTGCTTAGGGGAAAACATGACAAAAAATGAAAATGCGGAAATTTTTTTTAAATTGATATTTGTATCTGCACATATTTTACATTATTTTTTATTTCTGTTTACTTGTCCAACATCTCCAAATCATTTTCATTACACTCTTCACCTTTACCTGTTATTAAAGCTAAGAATCAAAAGTTTTATATTTTCTTTCTGCCATAACAGTTATTCTAATTTCCAGAATGGTATTCAGAATCCTTAATTCAATCTGTTTTGCAGAGAATTCTTGATAATATTTGTTTCTGAGAAAACATGCTCCAGTGTTTCAATACTTATTGGTAGAAAAAGAATCCTAATGAGAAAGATGTATGTAATACTTGCAGTTATGATGGATGAAATTCCATATTCATCCAGTTGCATGCAGTGACATTTGATGATAGGAACTTATAGATTTATTAGAAGCGTTATGGCCCTGGGTAGATTTATTGGAAGCGTTATACAATATTTTGGTGTGTAGCTTTCACGAGCTAAATTGCATGAGGTTGGGGCTCTGTAAAGTGCATGCACAAATGCCTGTAATCTGGCTGCTTTACACGATTTAAATATTTTTGCCATGGAAGCTATCTTGGATTCGACAATACAGCATGCTTCTGTTGTTAATATGTATATAAAATTTATATTCGAATATATAATAGCAATTTTATCATTGTTTTTCACATGTATAGAAATTTGTAATAAAATACATAATGCAGTTATAATAAAATATTAATTTTAATNTTTTCCAATTTCTCCAATAGCTAGAACA